TTAAAACATTCTTAAAAGAACGGCTCATTTCTTCTGAATTTATAGTATTTATTGTTCTTGTCAAGTAATATTGCTGTAATCCTGTTAATGTATTGTACAGTATAAATTGCAAACATGCCTGTGTTGGACACGTGTTCACAGGTTACAGACATTTTAGAGGAGGTAGATGCTTTATTTAAAGGTGCTCTAAGTCATGTTTATTTGTACTATGTTATTTTTGTATATAAATCATTATTACAGTAGAACAAATTGCTATTTTTGTTATTTGTAAATTAGAAGCTGTTTTTTTTTTACCATTGCACAGCACCACTTTATCACCAATAAATTTGTATAACTTTGTGGTCAAATTATTGTTTTGTCACATGTGAGAACAAATACAAGTTTATATTTTCTTTCAGATTATGTAATTTTTTGTAATAAAGTCTGTATCATAGAATGATAACTTCTTTCCATTGTTATTTTGTAGATGTAATTAAATGGCTTAAATGTAATTCAAGATAATTTAGTAAAACTGCAGTTTTACTATATCATTACTACAATATAACTGTAGTAGAACCATTGTATCAAAACCATGGTTTTTAAAAATACCAGTTACAGTCATGGTTACTATGGTTTTACTGTAGTATTACTACAATATTACTGTAGTAGAACCATGGTATCAAAACCATGGTTTTGATACCGCACCAAAATACCACGGTTACTACAGTCATAGTTAACTACAGTTTTATTGTAGAAAAACCATAGTTAATTTTCGTAAGGGTTTGACCATTCTTTATTTAAAAAAAATATTTTACTAGTCTAACTATCGAGATTCTAAATAACTAGAGATGGGACTTTTTGTACACCACATACAAACCACTGAAATCGGTTGATAAATGTACAAACAGTTTTTGTTTTTATCCAGAAAAAAACGCAGCTGCATTTGATTGCAGTGCAGTCTTGCCCTCCGCAAAATGGCGGACGCGTTGACGTATCGCAGCAACGTTCCAAAGCGGCCAATAGGGCGTCTTTGTATTTATAATGTCTATGGTGCACGGACCCACACTTCGAAAATCCACCGAAAATAGTACACCATCCGGGGACTTCTGGCACATTTTTTTCAAGATATATGCTTTGAAAATTGGGACACACTTATTTTAATCTCACAAACTGTTTAGGATGGATAGTAGGACATTAAGACCAAGACGCAGGGTTACTCTTTTAGCGCTCGTTAAGTAAGTAACTTACTCAGTGAGTATGCTGTTTCGAACGCAGCCCATGTCTGCAACAGCGCTGAAATTGGAGGACCAGGAAGCAGCTTTTCTTTCATTTTCATCTGTGGGTGTGGTTGCAAGACAGTTGAAAATACGAGAAAGGAAGATCTAGATTCAATTTGTGTAAGGTAAAGTAATGCATTTTGTACAAAAACAAATAGCAAAATTTCTGAAACGATTATAACATAACATCGTAAATCTAGCCAAGTTTTTATTATTTTAATAAAAAAACAACAGCTTGTATTTATAGCACTATACTTTGTAATAGACCTTATTACCCTGGCATTCAAACACAAAAATTTCATTCCTGCATTCCTCATGTGGTAGATCTCGTGAAGTGTTTAGGGTGTGCTCCTGTGCAGTTGAGATAGATAGTTGTGGTTCATTTTGCTATTATGGCTGTGCTTTGTGTGTTGTTCTTGCTTTCTTTCTCCATCTTACTTTCACTTTTACTGGAAACTCACCAACTCTTGTCAATGTTCAAAAGCTAGCTTGTTGCCTCGCTGCACTATGTAACACAGTCTCACAGGGTTCGTACAGACTCCAGGACTTTCAAGGACTTTTCAAGCACTACATTTTTGGATTTCAAGGACTTCAATCGGCACTTATCAAACAATATCTTGATTATTATTTTTTACTTATTGATGTTTCGATTCAGAGAGGTGAATCCATTGACCAGCGCTGTCAGGCATGGGAAATCGCCTTAACCATTGAAAGGATATTGAAACTGATTTTCCCCCCCATTAATATATATGATTAACCTGAAGAATGAAAGTTGTATTATATACTTATCATATACTTAATATCATGCTCATAGCCATGAGAAATAGCTCTATATCTCAGATGGGCTGCAGCGTTGATTTAGCGTGAAACAATTGTATTTTTTTCAACAACAAAAAATAAAAAATATCACAATATTTTGAATTAGGGATGGACCGATACCACTTTTTGCAGAACGAGATACCAATACTGTAACCAATCCCTGAATTTTCACTCCATTTGTCATTTTTAAATGTATTAGTAATAATCATATTAGTTGGCTTAATTTGTTCATCAAATATATATTTCTTTCAATTATTTGCATGCTTAATTAAGCCTGCTAAAATGCATTGTATGAGCTTTTGTTACTGTACATTCTATTGCTCTATCATATTTTATATTTCATTGAATAGCACAGCACATATTTAGACTAGAGCAGCTCCAGAAATGTCAGTGCTGAGAATTGGGTCAGTGGTACAAATGTTTAGACACCAGTGAAATATAAATTATTTAATCCAATTTTGATACTACAACAAAAACTGCCAGCCTAATTAATGTGAATTGAAAACATTATTAAAAGGTAAGCAGTCAGCAACAAAATAAGAACGAATAATCAACTTACAAATAAATACAATAGAACAAAGAAAGGCTACAAATTACTGGATACATTTAATATAGATGGATCTTTTGAAAGTTGAAAAGGGTAGACTATTTAGTCAAGAACAGTGAGTAATTTATTTGTCCATTCATTGTTTGATTAACATTAAAACAGCAGTGGGTTTATTGAAGTGCTGCCCCTTTAAGACCAAACGCACGGACCCCATGGCTACGTTCACTTGATATACCTGACTTTGTTTACTAGGACACTCGCAAATATGGGCATTTTTACATCATTTTGTGTGAATTCCTCCGCACAAGCGCAAGACATGAAAGACAATTCAATTCAGTATTCGCGCGCTGACACGCTGGTTTCCGGGGCGCGCGCTTTGGATGTTTGCGTTCATGGAACTTATTGACTGCAAACGTCCAGTAATAATGTAGGGAATCACTCGTCGTTATCAGGTAACAGGTCATGTTTTACTTTACTTGATTTAGTTGTCATCCAAATAACACGAGCTGAGTGAACGATTTAGCAAGAGCATTCAACAGAACTGCGCTCTCTCTCGTCAGTTAACGTTAATAATAAGCTAGTACATGCCTTGTTTTATTTTCTTTGCTATTGACATCCGACTAAACTACAAACCTTCCACTGATGTCTGTTTAAAGAGATGTGCTCGACCAGCTCGCATGTCTGTGCTGCTGCGCGCTCAATCCACTGCGCGGTTTTCTCTGATGATCAGCTCGCGCACCACAGCTATGCGTTACTATACAGTACACACGCTGCCTGGTAGGCCTTTCAGTTATTGGTATCGGAGCATTTTTACGAGTACATGAGCTCGGTATCGGTGCATCCCTATAATAATTCAAGCACTTTTCAAGTACCTCTTCAAAAATATGGCTGTTTTCCAGGACTTAAATTTCAAAAAGCCAAATTCAAGTACTTCAAGCACTTTAAGCACCTTGTACGAACCCTGCAAAACGTCATCTGTCTGACGCTTTTGACCATACATCAACATCCGACGTTTTTAGGGTACCCTTTAACGTCAGTTAGATGCCGATCCTAGGGCGTCATCTAACTGACTATTACCTTTAGCGTCAGTTAGATGACGCGGGTAGGTTTAGGTCTGGGGTAGGGTTAGGATTAGATAGCGTCATCTAACTGACGTTAAAGGGTACCCTAAAACGTCGAATGTTGACGGCAATCACTTATTTGCACTTTGCAGGCAGTGTTTATGCAGTTATTCCAAGTTTTCTCTGAAATGTGTCTCTTTGGTTGTCAGTGGCATTGCATAGGTTGTAATTTTTACATTAAATGTACAAACGTTTAAATGTTGTAGCGTTCTCAAGACAAGGATGAGGAGCATACCTGTCAACACTCCCGTTTTTCCCGGGTTTCTCCCGTTTTTTAGCCCTATCTCCCGGACCCCTCCCGGTTTGTTATTTCTCCCGGGAAACTCCCGTAATTTGCATGGCCCAAACTCCTTTATGAATAATCGGACCAATATGTTTGTCTAATGTTGACCAGTTGCCAGATTGTATTAAATGCATTATATTCACACAATCCACAGACCATTTACAATTTCAACCCGTTTGTCACCTCAACCTGGCAACCTATAACCCAGTTGCGCAGTCGCGGAAAGTTTAACCCGAAAGCGAGCCGATAGACATGATGGCAGGTGAAGGTGGTGTCCCCGCAATGAAACTGAAGTACAGTTTGTAACGCGTTGCTTCAGGAAGATTAGGGATAACTCACAACTGAAGTTATTGCATGCAGAGGCCAGACAGACACACGGAGGCGATTGGCATCTCACAACTCGCACTTTATTCCCAAATCTAACTCGTGTAGCCTAACTGTCTGTCACACGTTCTACTGTCCACATCGTTACTTAGTAAACAAAATAAGATAAAAATTAGCATCAAACAGAAATTACCCGCCTACATGGGGTGTTCGCATTGACAGTAAAAGGGGTGTTCGAGGCCCAAGGCACATACAGTTCAACAGGGAGCGCATAGCTCTTAAAGGGGCCACACCTTATTTCCAGTCGTTACAAGTTGTACATATACCCCAACCCTCAACCCCTAAACCCCCCCCCGCCGGAGAAATCTCCCGGATTTTGAAAACCAAATGTTGACAGGTATGATGAGGAGTTTTGATGACAAATGGTGTTTATTAAAAGTTGATGTAGGCCACAGCCATGGCGTAAACCCCTGACTTATTCAACATTAAAAATCATTTTATTGTCTTTTATTGTTTGAAATTTTTTTTCTTTTATTGTTTGTTTTTTACTATTGGTTTTCTTTTGTACTTGTACAGCACTTTGGTCAACTTCGGTTGTTTTTAAATTGTGCTTTATAAAAAAAAAACATTGCATTGTTTTGTATTGCATTCAGAAAACACCACTTGAACCAGCGAGGTACTATTCTGCTTCCGTTCTCCCAGTCCCCACCTCACCACAACACAGGGGGTGGAGCCTTCGTCTTCCCATATTAAACTTGAACATGTAAGTACAGTTCCCCAACGCCAAATAAAAAAAAACAACATTGACATTAACACATCCTTATCGTTTCTACAGCAGGCAAACAATAAAAAAAGCAGTTTAGTACACGAGGATGCCAAAAAAATCATTCTGAGTGTAAAAGCAGGCTACGTCAAATAATTATTACAATAAGTTAGGCTCCATTGTGTATTAAGCTAATTAAAATATTACACATTTATTATTCACAATTAGAAGAGCAAATAAAACAACAGGTTACTGTCATAACCCCGGTTCTCTGAAACATCGAGTGGAGAGATCCACCTATGGGAAGGGCATCCGTACCTGACCTCTGCAGAAGCATCCAATTGCACCAAGTCTAGCTAGACAGACAGAAGCGCGCAGGTAGGGCCCCAACCCCTTACCTGAGAGCATATAAGGCCTGCAAGGACTGCTGTTCTCCAGTAAGTATATTCGCTTCTCTTGCGGAAAGCGTGGCAAAGCCGGTGGATCTCTCCACTTAATGTTTCAGAGAACCGGGTTTACGACAGTAACCTATAGGTTTTCATCGACAGGGTAATGGTGATTCAACATTAATTTTGCATTGAAATTTCAATATCAACCATAATGATGATTCAGATGGAAAAACATTGTTTATTCAGGCTTGCTGTCTGGGGTCGCTCTTCAAAATACAAACGGTCGTCATCAGAGTAGTCGCGCTCTTCTTCTGATGAAAAGGTGCATTCTTCGTCGCTAGTATCCAGGACGAGCTGAAGAGCTGCCATCTTCCCAACGCGCAGGTGACTGAATGATGAAACTTGAAGCCTTTAATGCATTTGCTTGGGGGCCTTTACCTGTTTTGCATAGATGGCTTAACACATTATCTTGTGAATAGCGCGCTCCGTGAGTAGGCGTGAACGAATTAAAGTAAATGAGCTCGTAATCAGCTCGACTGGAATCGCTCTATTTTCATACAGATTACAGAAGCTGAGAATATTTGTTTTTAATTTAAATACGCTGATTTCACGCTGCCGCCATTTTGAAATCGAAAGCGAGGCTCCGGTGGGAAGAACCCCGGAAGTACAGATAAACAACAATGCCTTGGACTACCAACCTGAAGCTACTGCCGCGATTTACACTATTGGATGTTAATATCCAGTATAGGGTATGTATAGTTCGTTCCTGCTTCTTTTTTTACGTTCTGAATTATATATATAAAAAAAATGTTTTATTTATAAATTAATTTCACTGTATATAGTCTAAAGTATGAAAGAAATGTATGTACATTTTTAGAATAACTAATTTCTACATTAACACAACAATACGCCATCGCCATTCGCGACTCTCCTATGATTAAAAGCAACACTTCCGGTTTTCTTCCCACCGGAGTGATTTCAAAATGGCGGCTGCGTGAAATCAGCGTATTACTTCATTTAAAAGATGCGATCTCAAGCTTTAAATGCCCGTGGGTATGTTTGCCTGTTTGACTGAATTTTCGTGGAGTTACAGATCATTTCCGAACGCGTTTCAAATTGGAGTTCGCTGACAGAGAGAGAGCAGAACTCGCATCATGTTCATTTTTCTTTATTTGGCAAAAAGCAAAACACTTTATTTTTATTGTGAGTATACAGAAAAAAATAGAAACTGAACAGGATCGATTGATGTATAACACGAAAATGAAAGATCAAAATTAACAAAGCAGTCTGAGTTTATTTTGCATTGCTAAAAAAAAAACGAGCAAAACGCACGGGTGCGTTTTTGGTCCCCAGAGGGTTAATGTTAAGTTGTGTTAACTGTTACTGTTAAGTTGTGTATGTTTGCAGTGGAGGCTGACCTATTATGTTGTGTTTATAAATCCGTTTTGGTCTTCTCTCTACAGCAGAGTAACTTTGGCATCACTATCCAACTTTTGACTTTTTGACGGCCACAAAATCACTTCCCTGGCTCGACATACTCATATCTTTATTATTCCCATCATTCTTCATGAATTGTGCCACGTAAGTACTTTGTTCATTCTCTATTGGAATCTCTAGTAAGTAGTCTTGACGGGAGCCGAGTGGTTTTTCTGTTTCTGCTCTAACCAGGCACGAGAGTGAAGACTAGGAGTGTCTGCGAGTGCTCATATTGTGATTCGTGGGTGAGCAAACAAACCCACTCTTGGTGTGTGTGTAAGAGAAAGGAATAGAATGCCGGAAAGTGTAACTGATATTTTCCCACAGTATGTTACCTCAAACATGCAGGATAAATTATGTTTTCTTGTGAACAGATACTATCAGTCAGTGGCTGAGCATAAAGAAAAAAATGGAAACTCAGGCTTTTGGGCAGGAACCTGGAAAAAAGGAAAACCATGGCAAGTTACCTAAACATAAGTGCAATTGAACTTTCTTAATTTATTGATAAGATGTACATTGTGAATATTTTGTAGTGTTAAAAAAAGTAGTCATTCTAATGGTAAGCATTGAAAATGATTGATACTAACAACAAAGCCTTTAAATGGAACCAACGGGTATTAAGACTTGTATGGCTAATATAATGTAAATGATGTCTCTTACTGAATTTACGTTATTTAAAAAATCCACATCGTTATATACATATTTTGGACGATGGGGATTGGGGTGGGGGAGGCAGGGGGCACTGCGCCATTTTAGGTGCAGTGCGTTTACAATAAAGGTGTTCTGTGTCGATGACATCAAATGGTTGTACTCGTGAACTTCTGCCGCTACCTGTTGCTATTTTTACTGCAACACAACTCGGAATACACAACTCAGAAAATAAAATACTGATACGATGCCACATTTTGCGGCTTTTGGTTGTAATTTTCAGTCGAAGGACAACAAGAAGCGATGTAATTCTTCACTGATTTCAAGTTTATTCACTGAGGAACCTGGCGATGGTCTGCGTTACTGCATCAATCATAATTGGAGAAAATGTTACACTTACTGACTGTAGTGAAACTGAAAACGATATTCTGCTGGCTCAACTACCTAAGACGAGTTGGAGTTCCCTCGTCTATACCCCGATCTAACTTCGATCCTGACCCAGAGCTGATGGATATGCTGGTTCTCAGCACCCCCGCCCCTGAGCCATTCTTTCCAGAAATGCATGGAGAAATTACCAGATCATGGACAGCTCCTTTTTCTGCCCGAAACCGGTCCGAGACCTCTTCCTCCCTTACTACTCTCGACGGTGGGATAGCCAAGGGGTACGTGGAGATTCCCCGGTGGAGCGCGTGTTTGTGATGCAATTGTGTCCAAAAAGCGCTGCTCCCTCGAGGGGTAATCCGTGTCTCCCATCCAAGGCCTCTAAGTTCTCGTCCATTCTTACGGCTAATGCTTACAGAGCTGCTGGACAGGCCGCCTCCGTCCTGCACGCCATGGCTCTCCTGCAGGTCTATCAGACCAAGGCACTTAAGGAGTTGCACAACAGTAGTACTGGCTCATTCTGGCCGAGTCGCGAGAGCAGTTGTGCGAACACAGGGACATGGTGCTCAGACACCTCAGCCAGCTGGGGCTTCGTGTCAACTGGGAAAAGAGAAAACTCTCCTCTGTGCAGACGATCTCTTTTCTCATTACGGAGTTGGACTCTGTCAGCCTAGCACGCCTCACAGAGGAATGTGTTCTCTCGGTGTTGAACTGCTTGAATTCACTCAAGAGCAGGATGGCAGCCCCACTGAAACTATTTCAGAGGCTCCTGGGGCATATCACATCCGTAGCCGCTGTAACGCCACTCGGATTGCTTCATATGATGCCGCTTCAGCACTTGGTTTATGGTCGAGTCCCTAAATGGGTGTGGCACTGAGTGCCAATCACCATACTGTTGTATTCACTGATGCCTCTACCACTAGCTGGGGTGCCACATACAATGGGCATGCAGTTTTGGGTATTTGGACGAGACCCCAACTGCCTTGGGTTGCTTGCAGTATGACTTGTCTACGCTCCAATCGCATGTGGCAACTCACCCGCCATCTCCTCCTATGTAGTCAGACTCCTATGGAGTCCTTTGAACCATTCATATTCCGGGCGTGCTCAAACATACTGCCGATGAGTTCTCACTCACGACAGCCTGCACTTCCGGGAGAGTGAAGACTCCATCCCCAGGCGGTCCAGCTGATCTTTGGACGCTTTGGAGATGCACAGGTTTGTTTGCCTCTCCGGACACGCCCCATTGCTGTTTTACTCCCTGACCGAGGAGACCCTTGGCATGGATGCAGTGGCACACAGCTGGTCCCGGGGCCTACACAAGTATGCATTTCCCCCAGTGAGCCTACTTGCACAGACACTATGCAAAGTCAGGGAGAACGAGTAGCAGGTCTTACTAGTCCTCTGGAACCTCTGCGTGTGGTCTCTAGACGGGACGTGGAGGACGTAGGTGATCTACCCCAGGTGGTGGTAGACATATCACTTCAGCGAGAGCGCATTCACTCCCTGAAGTGGAACCTGTTTGTTGAGTGGTGTTCTTCTCAACGGGAAGACCCCGGGAGATGCCTTATCAGAGCTGTGCTTTCCTTCCTGCAGGAAGGTTTGGAGCGAAGGCTGACTCTGAGCTCGATTGCTATGTCTGAGGTAAAACACTCCCCCCTCATTACCCAGCCAGCAATGACATATGGGGCCCAGATGGGTTAAGTAGGGGTTCCATGGTTACTGTGTGGGCATGGGCTTTGGCTGGGTGAAATCAGCGGGTCCCATGTAGGTTTTGTAGTATGAGTCCCACATAGGAAGCCCATATGAGCTGATTACATGGGCCCCATAAGGGACAGGCATGGGTCAATTGGGCATGGGTTTGAACTGAGAACACATATATGGGTCCTGCATAGCATATTTATGGGCCAAGTGGGCATGGGTTTGAACTGGGAACACATATATGGGTCCTGCATAGCATATTTATGGGCCAAGTGGGCATGGGTTTGAACTGGGAACACATATATGGGTCCTGCATAGCATATTTATGGGCCAAGTGGGCATGGGTTTGATCTGGGAACACATATATGGGTCCAGCATATAATTTTTATGGGCTAAGTGGCCATGGGTTTGAACTGGGAACACATATATGGGTCCAGCATATAATTTTTCTGGGCCAAGTGGGCATGGGTTTGATCTGGGAACACATATATGGGTCCAGCATATAATTTGTATGGGCTAAGTCGCCATGGGTTTGAACTGGGAACACATATTTGGGTCCTGCATGGTATATTTATGGGCCAAGTGGCCATGGGTTTGAACTGGGAACACATATATGGGTCCTGCATATAATTTGTATGGGCCAAGTGGGCATGGGTTTGAACTGGGAACATATATATGGGTCCTGCATATAATTTTTATGGGCCAAGTGGCCATGGGTTTGAACTGGGAACACATATATGGGTCCAGCATATAATTTTTATGGGCCAAGTGGGCATGGGTTTGAACTGGGAACATATATATGGGTCCTGCATATAATTTTTATGGGCCAAGTGGCCATGGGTTTGAACTGGGAACACATATATGGGTCCAGCATATAATTTTTATGGGCCAAGTGGGCATGGGTTTGAACTGGGAACATATATATGGGTCCAGCATATAATTTTTATGGGCTAAGTGGCCATGGGTTTGAACTGGGAACACATATATGGGTCCTGCATGGTTTATTTATGGGCCAAGTGCCCATGGGTTTGATCTGGGAACACATATATGGGTCCTGCATATAATTTTTATGGGCCAAATGAGCATGGGTTTGAACTGGGAACACATATATGGGTCCTGCATGGTACATTTATGGGCCAAGTGGGCATGGTTTTGATCTGGGAACACATATATGGGTCCTGCATATAATTTTTATGGGCCAAGTGGCCATGGGTTTGAACTGGGAACACATAAATGGGTCCTGCGTGGCATGTTAATGGGCCAAGTGGGCATGGGTTTGATCTGTGAACACATAAATGGGTCCTGCGTGGCATATTTATGGGCCAAGTGGCCATGGGTTTGAACTGGGAACACATATATGGGCCCTCCATGATGCATTTATGGGCCAAGTGGGCATGTGTTTGATCTGGGAACGCATATATGGGTCCAGCATGGCATGTTTATGTGCTAAGTTGGGTTTGAACTGGGAACACATGGATCCTGCATGGCAGAGGCGCAAAGTAACTATTTAGGCCTATTGATAACTTACTGTACAATTTTTAGTAACTCTACATGTAGGCTAATCAAGCATGTTGAGACTGAGTAATTGTAACTCAATACATTTCAAGTCATGCTAGTCACCAAAGAACAAACATTGCATATGTAGATCTTTTGCCAAAACAATCCATCAGTCATTTTTGTTAGTCGTGCAGAAAATGAAAAATGGAACTTCCCAAAAATGTAAAAAACATCAAAATAGGTCAAAGTTTACGCTGTGTTGAATTATGCTGATTAGTGGACTCTCAGAAAGGTTGCAGGCCTACCGTAAGACTTCAAATAATAGTCCAGTCCCAGACGCCTGTCCCTTGGGGCAGAAACGCATATTTAGACATAACTAGGGATGCTCAATATAATCGGCCGATATTGGCTTTAAAATACAATATCGGTAACCGGTATAGGTTTTTGAAATGGTTTAAAATGACTAAAGTATGTCATTTTATATCTTTTTGGAAAGCATGTTTCCTCTCAAAGCGAATGCAGACAAAATTTGAGTGTTGCTGTAGTTTACCTCAGTCAAAGAAATGTTCAGTTTGGCATCTTCTCTCGAAGGGGTAGTAAGCACCGCACCCCAGTTAGCCAACCGGTTGCTGGCTAGTCCTTCAAAACATTCAAATCCCCAGTATCAAGTGAGTCATGGAACAGTGGGCAGTAAGCCTATAAAGGATCATATGTTTCGGTGTATCAGCTAATATCGGTACCGGAAATTAAGCATTGGACAATATTGGTATATCGGATATCGGTACAAAATCAATGTCAAGCATCCCTACAAATAACCCCAAACGGTTATCCACATCCCATTTACCTGTCCCAATTTGGTCAAATAAAACTCCGGGATCCAATTTGAAGTTTTACGGTATTTCAATTTTTAAGATGATCGAGGCCAAATAGCTCACAGACAGCTAGTCCCTTTATGGACATGAATATGATGCATTTATTACCTCTTAGGAAATTGTAATTCAATATTTGTTAGAAAAGGACTTGCAGGAGGCCTCATTATCTGTCTTACACTTCTGTTTTGTCCTTGGACCAAGGAGTAGCATGTGTTTCTATCAAGGTGTAGCATACACCAACAATGACTGATTGGCTGTAAAAGGTACAGTAGATCTGTTTGAGAAAAAAATAGGGAAAAACACTTTTGTATCTTATTAATTATTAATGATTAATAGATTGTTGTGGTTTTAAATTTTGGTAAAGGAAAACACACATCCAGGCCGAGAAGTGGCGGTGACATCAGTGGGTAAAAGTAACTCTAGCTGATTAGTTTTTTTTTTTTTTTTTTTTTACAAATTGTACTTCTACTTGAGTATTTCTCTAACACCAGTACTTTTACTTTTAATAGAATAATAGCAATACAGCAGTACTTGCACTTGAGTACAGATTTTC